ATTTTAAGGCTCTCTTAGTTTTGGCCATGTAAATTAAACCACACTGGCAGGAATCCTATAAATACCCCAGGAATTCATATCCGGAATGGGTCCTTGAGTATAGAAGTTGGAATTTTATTGATGTGGAGAAAAAACAACCCGAAAGTTTAAATTTCTTTCTGCAAATATGTGCAACTTTATAGCTAATTGATGGAAAGAAGGGAATGACAACAGAATTTTTTATAATCTCCTAAAATAAGTGTGTGGCTTTTAGTGTGTTGAGATGAGAATTTTTTAACTGCTTGATTAATAATGTTGGGTGAAAGCCCTGTCATAGCTATTGCTTTTAAATAATTTAGTTCTTCATCAAGGGCTAGTTTGGAGGAGCAAACTTGAAGAGCACGGAAACATATGATTTATTATTAACATAGGAATAAATGATTTATTAATTAACATAGGAATAAATGGTTTATTATTAACATAGGAATAAAATGGTTTATTCCTATGTTTTCCGTGCTCTTCAAGTTTGCTCCTCCAAACTATCCCTGATGAAGAACTATTATTTTAAAGCAATAGCTATTGACAGGGGCTTTTCACCCAACATTATTAATCAGCAGTTAAAAAATTCTCATCTCACACCTAAAACCACACCTTATTTTAGAGATTATAAAAATCTGTTGTCATTCCCTCTTTCCATCATTAGCTATAAAGTTGCACATATTTTGGCAGAAATTTAACTTTCGGGTTGTTTTTTCTCCCATCATAAAATTCCAACTTCTATACTCAAGGACCCCATTCCGGATATGAATTCCTGGGGTATTTTTATAGGATTCCTTGCCAGTGTGGTTTAATTTACATTGGCCAAACTAAGAGAGCCTTAAAATTTCGCGTCAAGAACATGAGGCATATGTTAGGAAAAAGGAAAACACAGAGGTCTTCTGTTGCTCAACATTGTTGGTCCGAAAATCACACTTTCAATTTTTCTGCTGCCAAAATTATTCAAAACATCTTCCATTGGAGAACTGAATTTTCTAGAGGCATTTCACATTCATAAAAATCTTTCTGTTTCTAGTTAACGATCCTAATTCCAATCCAAATTTGCCTTCGGCTTTTAGAGAAATTATGTTTTAGTTCTGGTTTCACCAACAGATGGCGCCACTTGCTTATTCTTGTCCAGGCTTTCTTATCTTATCTAATCATTATTTCCTATCTTGTTCATTTGCGGTTTTGCAGCTGAAGATGATGGTTCGGTAAAAACCATCGAAACTAGTCCTGTGAAAATTTTGTAGGTATAACGCTGATTTTTGTTGTTTGACTTCTGAATTGATGATCTAATATCCGGAAAAATCCCAAATCTGGAATCAACAAAGTTCCGGCGAGTCCGGATTTCAGACTTTGTACTGTATTTTCTTGATTTTAATTAAAAAAATGACTCTCATTTTGTACCTTGATTCCTCTTCCAATATACATCCAAACCGAAATCAGATACATTAAAAGCTAGCAGAAATTTTCATGTGTAATGAATATAGAAGGCAGCCTTCTCTACGGAATTTTCCAGTCGTAATGCTGAGAGGGTTAAAAAATGTATATAAAGTGTGGGAAATATTGTTATTTATTTTTAGATACTAAAGTTGGCTGTGAATTTTGTTAAATGATATAAAAAAGTTGACATTTGTGTAGTTTTTAGAACTGAACTAGAAATAAGATATTTATTGTTATACATAGAGTATTTTATCAGGGCTATTTTACTGTGGGCTGTTTTGACAGATTGTGACTGCCAGCATTTCACAACTATTCTGGAACACTGGATTGTCATGTACCTTTGTTTGATGCATGTATACTACTGGTTTCTGCTTGTAATTAAGTAGCCCAATTAAAAGAATCATCATAGTACTGTTGATATTTGTTTAACAATCCCTTGTGTCCTAGAAGCAAGGGCATTTATAATCAAAGTTGATTTACTTTCTTCATTTGGAGACTTTTTGTGCTGGTTATGATGGAACGGTTGCTACATTTCACAACAACCAGCACAGTTGGTTGTTTTCATTATAACTATCAACAGTACTTTATTTTTGGTTTAAAAGTTACAAACTTACATGAGTTAATCTACCATATAGAGTAATGCTGCTATTTAGATTTAGATAAATATGAAGAATAAAAGTTTTATTTTTGTATGTAATTGATATTTCATCAGAAATAGTAACCCAGACAGGATATCCTTTTGCATCTGCATCCTTTTGCTCTCAATCTGCTAGAACTTTTACCCCATAGGAAAAATGCCACACCAAGAAATCATTTGCACTATGATACTATCCACAATTTGGAAAGAAAAACCCTGCTATGCTTCTCCATATCAAAGAAGAAAGTCAGCCCACTTTTAAAAATAAAGTATTTTACTCTGTGGAGAGTGTCCATTCCATGTTTTTATAGGTGTTGGTAACATTATTTTCTTCCCTGTAATGTAAATTTATCTTCTCTAGCATGTTTTTAACTATAAGTATCTCTTTTTGAGCACGTTATAAATATTATTTTTAGAAAACCTATTCTTTGCTAAGAAGTAATAATAATTCATTTCTCATTCTTAATATTTACTAGAGGAAATATAGGGAATGAGAAAATATTTTGTAATCCATAGGATGTCACTGCAGTCTTGATAGAGTGAATATACCTTAACATGCTGGGGAATAGTTTTATAGCTATAGACCATTTGCTTATTTTGTATTGGACTGCTTGAATCAGAGATTTTGTTCATTAACTGTCTCTTTGGAACACAGCATGATAAGTTAACTCCAACTATTAGAAGCAGCAGCTGCTGGGGTGTTAGAGGTGGCTTTAGGCAACATTTTATAGGCTCAGTATTCATTAAGTAATGTGTTCATCATTTAATGGTTCTTAAAGAAATAGCCATCATAGTTCTAAATAGCTTTATCATTAGTTAGCTGTAATCCTTCATTGCTTTTCTTTAACTGTGTAATACTGCTTAATGGTTAGTGACATGATAGTATAAAATCTGTTTAGTCATTGTAAGGAATGAACTGCAGACTTCAAAAGTTGATTTTCTAGCACATCTCTTATACAGAATGCTATGAACCATCAACATATAATGCTTTCATAAGCTGTATTTTCCCTAAAACTCAGTTTAATATTTTCAGGGTTTTATATATATATATATATATATATGGGAATGCCCAGCTTTCGGTTCTTAAAAGTTAATTTTAAGTTGTATGCTTTGTATACGTTGAAGCTATACTGTTAATATTAACAGATTATGAAGCACATTGTAACTTGTTATGTAACAGTACTATGGCATTCTTTGATAATTTCATTCATGTAGAGAATTTCATGTATTTTTATTTGGGAAAATTATTTGTAATTTCTTCACCTTGAGGAATTTTTAAGTGAGATACTCCTTACTTAAATTTTTAGTTTTCACCAGCTAAATGTTCTGATTCAGCAAGTTATTGCCGACCAGCTATATATTGAACTACATTGTACAAAAAGGTTGATAAAACAATAATCGTTTAAAAACTACAGTTGTGTCCCATATCTTCTAATCCAGTATCCTAGGTTTACTTTCAGAGCAGCAGAAGAGGGAAGTTTCCATATGATTCATAAACTAAGTTTTAAAATTCAACTGAAAAGAGAAATTTTAAGCATAGTAGAAATATAAAATTAATTAACTAAATCACAATATTTGCAGAAATTTTTGTTATTAATTCAACCTTTGTTTGAGAACTTAATAAAACTAATACTGATACTAGCTACTAACTGGATACTTTACTTTCCCTGAGAAGGGAAAAGAATGAAAACATGGTCAGGGAAGAAATCTCCTTTAAATATGATCTATTTGGAAAGAAAATTTATGGGCTGTGCCCATCTGATCAAGAATGTTTAAATGGATTGGAAGCCAAGGCAATTAAAAAAAGGCTACTTTATCTGTCACTAAAGAGTGCTATTTTAAATATTTGCCTTTACATTTTAATAAATACTTTTTTAATTATATTTTTAATATTTAATTTATTATTTTTAAATATTTTTATTTTATATTAAATATTACTTTTGGCCTTGGTATTATGTCATTTTATAAGTGATTTATTTTATGATTTCATTTAACTTATAAATATTTTTATATATTCCTCTGCTGTTTATTAATTACTGATTACTCATTTATTGCTTTAAATTCCCTGTGTTAATTGTTCTTGACAATCTTTCTAGGGACTCATGGACGTTAAAAAAAAATCAGTCCTTTCTCTCAGATATTTCCCCCTAAGTATCTACATCCAGCAAAGCAAAATGTTGTGCTGACGATTGCATGTTACTGGTGATCTAAATTGTAGTTGATTTCCTGATTTTACAATACTGCCATCTAATCCACCAGTGGTGTATTCTAAGACGTACCTTAGGAAGGTGAAACTTGTGGGCTGTATTCATGTAACGCTCAAATGCAGAAAATTTTAATTAGCCCTCTTTAGATAGATAGCCTTCATGTGTTTGTCTTATCCATATAGCATAATGTGACCTGACATTGTAACACTTCAGTTTAATTCTCAAGGAATCATAGAGTAATTAAAGAAAAATGTTACTGCCATGTGAAGTTTCAAATGATGATAACATAGTAAAAATAATGATTTTGTTCCAAATCATACCAGAACACTATAAACAGTCATTAAAAAAAAATTATGTTGCTCTGCTGATAGTTCACATTGTGCTGGAAAAATAGAATATTACTTTGTTAGACCATTGCATTTCATCTGTACCATGCAGTATTGTGTGGTGCAAGTTTGTAATTTATGAGAAATTTATTATTAAGTTTTCTGGCTACCATGACAAATCATGCATGCTAGTGTCTGACTGTATATCAGTGAAACAGCTTTCCTGTCTCGACTATTTTATATAGATTTTACTTCCAATATGAATTTATGAAATTAAGATATATAGCTTTTTGAAAATGCTTAAGTTTTATCTTTTTTCTTTATTGTTTATTAACATTTACTGTTTTTTTATACTCTTTCTTTATTTAGAGACCCATTCGGTTTGCTGTCAGATCTTTGGGCTGGGTGGAAATTGCAGAGGCTGATTTAACACCTGAAAGGAGTAGCAAGGCTGTTAACAAATGTATAGTTGATTTATCTATGGGCAGAAATGATATACTTGATGTTGTTGGAAGATGGGGTGATGTGAGTGATAAATAGTTAGCTTTTTTCTTGTTTGTTGTGAGATATTTTCAAATCAATTCTGAAATATATTTCTAAGGTTTTAACATGTTGTATGTAAGTAATTCTAATATAATGTTTAAAATCAATAAATGAATCTTTTTTTTTTTTCTCTGTATAACAGAATCTTCCTTAAGCCTATGTAAAATTACTTAGGTTGATCCAAAAAAAAAGTTTACAAGCAGAAGCATTTGAAACGTAATAATTGTGGAGCGAATATTTCCACCCAGGGTGGTTGACAGATGGCACTAATTGTCCTATAGCGGTTCTACGAGTTTGTGGAACGAATATTTCCACCCAGGGTGGTTGACAGATGGCACTAGTTGTCCTATAGCGGTTCTACGAGTAAGTAGCGTCAGTACGCAGATACTTAAAGAGCGACAGTAATGGTACAACGTCTAGAAAAGTGGTCTCGCATAGAGGATGCGAGTCGTAATTCAATTCTTATGGGCCAAGAATGTGGCCGCATCCTAAAATTTACAGACAAATCATTGAGGTATACGGGTGACAAAAGCAATGAGTAGACAACAGGTAGCGAAATGGTGTCATTCTTATCAAAAGGAAAGGGAGCATGTGGAAAACCGCAATATGGAAGCGAGCGTCCATCCAAGTTCTTCAAGGATGGATATCAACACGGCACGTATTGAAGAAATCATTCCAAAGGGATTCGACGAGTAACCGTGCTTGAGATTGCCTCAGAGTTAGACCTGAGTTATAGTAACATTCAGCGTATCGTAACCGATGAGTTGCGATATTCCAAAGTTTGTGCCCGCTGAGTTCCACTTGCAAATGTCCGCGGAGCATAAGGCCACTCGAATGATGTGCAGCCTCACATTTCTTCAGTGATACCATTCAGACGGCCAACACTTCATTCATCGAATCGTTACCAGTGATGAAACATGGCTTCATCACTTCACCCCCACATCCAAAAGAGCCACGATGGAGTGGAAACATGCTGGATCACCGACGAGGAAGAAGTTTAAGGTCACACCCTCTTCCAGTAAAGTGATGGCAACCGTTTTCTGGGATACGACTGGTGTTATCCTAATCGAGTATTTGGAGCGTGGCCATACCATTAAGGCTGATTGTTATTGTGCCACCTTAACGAAATTGCGTAAAGCCATCCGACGCAAATGGCCAGGCTTACTGTGCAAAGGCATCATTCTTCTGCATGACAATGCCAGGCCCCATACAGCTCGCCAGACTCAGGAATTGCTGGAAAGGTTCAAGTGGGAGGTCTGGAATCACTCCCCATAGAGCCCCGATTTGGATCCAAGTGACTATTTCATTTTTCCAGCGTTGAAGCGATACTTATCCGGAACACGGTTCACGTTCACCTCAGACGATGCAGTGAAAACAGCTGCCGAGAAATGGCTCAATGAGCAGGGCCCTGATTACTACCAAGACGGGATAAACAAGTTGGTTGAATGTTCTGACAAATGCCTAAACAGGTTTGGCGACTATGTGGAAAAGTGAAGGCCAGATGTGTCTCTTGATTCCCATTTGTATCTTGTTTCTATTGTTAATAAATACTTTTTCATTTGCCTTGTAAACTTTTTTTTGGATCACCCCTCGTATATATGCAACTGGTCCTGATACTATAAACAATGGGGGACTCACTTTAGCAATGAGAGTATGATCCCCTCTGGTGAATAGCCAGAAAAACCTTCAATAAGGCCAGGTGATGAACCTGGTAGTTGTGCCAGATACCTGTTCTGTAAAAGCTTAAAATTGTATGTTATGTCCGTGTATAATTTAGTAATTGTAATAAATTATTGCTAGCCGATAAAGGACTCATTTATGACCCCAACCAATACGAACCCCGGCAAAGTGACGCCCAACAAACACCAAGTGTCTGATTGTATAAGCAGCTTATTTCCTGAAAGTCTTATATATAAGAAAGATTCGTTGCATAAATACCAAATGCCTGAATGTGTAAGAAGCTTAATTTTGTCGTTACTTCAAATATTATAATACTACTAGAATTGATAATATACGGTATAGTTAATATGAATACTATTTCAAAACAGAAACAGTTAGTGTTGTATGAGTCCCATGCTTTTTTTTTTTTTTTTTTTGTGTGTGTGTGCAGATTTATGATACATCGTATGAGGCAGCTTGTTTCTGAAAATAAGCCAGAGTTTTCATGAGCATGTAAATAACAAAAGGTAAATATTTTACATAAGCAATAGAAGTTTCAGTAAACTCCAAATATGCATAATTTGGGGCACCACTTTGAATCCTGTTAAACAGGATCATAAATGAGTCCTTTATCAAGTAACAATAATTTATTACAAGAACTGAGTTATACATGGACATAACATATAATTTTAAGTTTGTGCAGAAGAGGGTCTAATACAAACTAATAGGTTCATCACCTGCCCTTTATTGAAGGTTTTTTTTGGCTACTCACCAAAGGGCACTTTACTTACCATAGTTTAAAGTATCAGGAGTGCTCACATGTGCCTAAAAGTAAAACTCTAAACTAATTTTGTATCTGTGTAAAGAGTGTGAGAAAAAAGGACCTGAAAATATAGATGTCTGTATTTTTGTGCATGAGTAAAGTAGCAATTTGTATTTTGCTGTTTTTATACATTGAATGACCAAATGATGAGAGATATCTACTGAAGTATATATCAGGCCTCATGCAATATGAATAATTGCTTATCATCTAACAAAATACTGACTTCAGACATTGTAACTTTTCAATTTTGCTCTAGACAGTAATCCTAGTGGAACTAATATTTTGTTTCACTGAAATAGCATCTCGTGGAGATACAATATGATAACATTTGCTCAAAACACCCTTAAAAAGCTGAATATTTCAAACTGGTATTATCAGTTTGAAATAGTTGTATAGCACTCTCCAGAAACAGAATACATATTTTCTGATTCATATTCATAATTTATAGTTTTGATAGAAAATTTTCATATTGGAAATGTAGGAAAATGAGTTATCCTAGCAAAGTACAGCCTCTGGCTCTGAATACTAATGTTGTTGCTTGTGACATCATCTTTAGTTGTACAGAATCAGATTTTCACTTTTTGACTTCTTGTATTTCGATTACTAGAGCAAGATTAAGAAGATGTCTTTCTATTAAAAAAAGAGCACTTAACTTCCACTAACATAAATGAATTAATAGCCAAGTGATTATCAGTAACTTCAGTTTCTAGTTATGTCGGTCATTTTATTTGAGTAGCAAATTATATATTTTACTTTTCATTACTCACCAAAGTTGCTTAACAAAACTATGGCTATAAGGGCGTTTTTTAGCAGATGAGAGAGAGAACTTGTTTCTCCCAATATGTCTAACTAAATGTGTAGCGCTAAAATAATTTGGAACTCATAAAATTTGGATATATAATATGTACTGGAAGTGAGAGAACATCATTGTCCAAATCTCATTTAGCAGTCACATTATAATTTGAATCTACAAGAAATAAATAAAGGACAAAGCACAGGTAATATATATTTATTATGCCCATCGTGATTATTCCTAAATGCTGTGTCAGTGAGCTATACTTGGCTTTCTTACTAACTACACTCTTTCCCCTTAACTGCCGTGGGCGTATTATATGCCTTGCTCAGCCAATGTGTTAACTGCCCCAGGCATATATATATATGCCCTTTTGAAATACTATCATTTCCTTTGTGCTGCTATCAGTAAAATTATTCTCAAAGCCTTGGAATGAAACATGACATCCTTGACAGAGTATGCGAAGGAGAATACTACTTCAGAGAAGGGGGAATGAACTGGAGAGAAGAATGTTTCTGAAACGTTGAAAGTAATGACTATGTGGTTATTGCTCGTGTTTCTGTTTGAGTAAAACATATTTTTTTATTCTGTGTCTTCCGTTTTCGTTTACAGTTTGTAGTACATTCTTTTTTTATGAATATGTCTGACAGTGATGACTAAAGTAGATAATTACTTTCCGTCATCTTCAGGATCGGACACCTCAGAATATCCTGTTTACGTCAGATGAAGAGGATTGCAAAATCATGAACACAAGAAGAAAAAAAAGAACGAAATCATGGAATCCAACTAATTAAGATTTTTTTTAATGTATACTGATTTTACAAGGCATAACGCTGAAACCTGATATTATGCTTTACTGGTGTAAAAAGAAATTGATCGAAACTCCAATTTTGAGGATAATTTTTATTATACTTTTATGCTAACTATTAAATTGTATACTATTATTTTTTCTTTTATTCTTCATTTGGTGAAAGCAGTTTTTAGACGTCGGCAAAACTTTCATTCCCACCAATACATCGCATGACTATGCACATCTGTGCATAAAACTGGCACTGGGGACTAAATCTTGTAGGTTTTCTGTGGCAGTTAAGGATTAACAATTTAAGTAATATAGTGAACAGCTAAATACATGGAGTGGAATTCAAATGAAATGTTTCTAGAGCTATTTTTAGGCATTTTAGCCACCTTGCAGAAAGATGCCTTGTCCTGAAATTAATCACTGCATTCAGTATATACTATCTGACATTGAAAATGCAACACCAACAGGAAGTTGCTTGAAAATTATCCAAATCTCGGGGTAGATGTGCGTCACCGAGTTATGCAAATGATGTGAAATGCACAGCTCTCCAGCAAACGTTCAAGACGATATAAGGTAAGGAACCTACAGAATGTTCAATTTTAGTGCCATTATTTCTGTGAGGAAAATCATCATAGAAAATTTCTTTCTGTGTCAGAGGATATGTGTAATATCAGAGAATGCCAGGCTGTTGTCAACAGAGGCAGCTCCTGAAGATGATGACTTTACAAGGGGCATGGCAATTGGACTGAGAAGGGCAGTTTGTTCCATGAGGCAAATCTCGGCTACACCTGGACTCGTTTACAGTGCATTGGCTGTGGTGATGACGGTTGAAACAAGAAAATGTTGCAAATTCAAGGGGTGCAGGTGTGGATCAGAGCATCTGCTGACAAGTAGTGGTGCTCCTGAAGGCCTCTTCTACCTCCATTCTGCAGCATGTTTAAGACACCCTGGATGTTCCCCTGTCGGTCAGAACAATTTGCCGTCGACTGGTGTCTAGTGGCCTGCACTCATGGCATCCGTTAAGAAGGCTGTGATAGACCCCCCCCATCATAGACGCCATTGTCTGCAATGACATAATGACAGAGGGTTTTGTTCTCAGATGAGTCACGCTTCTGTTTCTCTAATGATAGTCGCCACGGACAAGTGTGGCGTCAATATAGAGATAGGTCCAGTCCAGCAGCAGTTGTGAAATGCCTCACAGCATCATGGTTTGTGGAGCAACTGCGTATGATTCCAAGTCCCCTTTAGTTCGTATTCAGGGCACCAAGATGGTCCAACAATATGTGAATGACGTGCTGCAGCCAATGACACTCTCTACCCTCAGGGAGTGCCCAATGCCCTTTATCAGCAGAATAATGCTCAATCACACATTGCTCGCATCAGCCAATGTACTCTGCAAGGTGTACAGATGCTTCTGTGGCCACTGTTTTCTCCTAATTTCTGACCAATTCAAGATATTTGGGATGTGATTGGACACCATTTGCAGACCTTGCCGTTGCTGCATTCAGAAGACGAACTATAGCAAATGGTTGACAGGGAAGGGAGAGCTATTCCTCAGGACACCATTCGTAGTCTCTTTGACTCTGTGTCTAGACGTGTTGCTTCTAGTATTGCCGTCCAATGTGGTATTACAACCTACTCAGCCAACGCTGTTCTTGCTATGTATTATGCATATCATTTCAAAATAAAGATCACTTATTGTTTTTTTGCCATGTCTCTCTGTTTGCAGCGTTTCATCACTTTCTGGCCACTCAGTCTTGGTGTTGCATTTTCAATATCGAGTGGTGTGTGTGAAGCATCATGATCATTCCACATATTTTTGTTGACATGGAGCATTTAAAAACTGTTGGCATGCAAAGGACTTGACGTTCTGATGGGAAGTTTTCCTACCGCAGATTAACAAATGTCTTGAATAAACTCAGGAGTATGGTTCTAGGTTTCATGTTGTTGATGTCGGACATTGTCCTTCCCTCAACTGGGTATACTAAGAAATAAGATTCATTTGACCATGTACCATTAACTCAGCACTGCTCTGAAAAATCCAATATTGATAGTTAGTGCCAAGCAAAGTTCAGTGTTTTGGAATGTACACTTATTAAGAGTATATGGCCAAGATGCTTGTTTGAGTAGCTTCTTTACCTTCTACTTGTTAAAGTTCCTTCAGACTCTGATATTGAACCTGAATATTAGTATTTACACAAGCATATCCTTTCAGTCTTTGTGCCTCTCTAAACACTGCATATTGAATGCTACCATTATTTTTATTATTAGCATGTGGTTGACCTGAGTTTTCTGTTTGGTTTCTAATATATATATTGGTATCTTACTGTTCTTCTTAAGGATTTTGGGCTTGTTGCCATATGAGTTACAGAATTGCCCACCTGTCATATGCTGACAGTGCATCCATTATCAAAATTAGCAATACTCCAAATTTAAGTATTTACATCATTTGTAAATACCTAAGCAGCATTTCCCCATTGCAGTTATTGCACTTTGGGAAGCTGAGATTTTCTCACATATACAGATTATATTTTGTTTTAAAACATTCCACTGTGTTCCAGTATCATTTGTTGACATGCCCATTCTCTCTCTCTCTCTCTTTTTTAATTTGGTAATATTCTGGTTATTCAGTGTTTCAATGATTTAAGAAAATTTTATTAAATAAGAAAAAGTACATGTTCAAATATAAAGAGAAATTTTCATTCTGCATTCTTGTAAAAAGTGCAAAGTTATTGTAACTCATTAGGCAAATGCATACATTTGAACTTGTCATTAGCTCTCCTGGTTTCTTTTTCTTTAACCCTGTTAATTGTAATCAACATGGTAGAACAGGAAGTTCACCACAGGATAGCATAGCAATTCACCATTAGATTTTTTACTATTGAAGTGTCATTCTGTCTCAATTTTAATGCAAACTGTTAATCAGTTTGAATTACCATTAGATTTTCATCTCTTCAGTCTACTTAAAAATGTATTATATGGATAAAATTCAAATATGAGTAATTTACTGATGCTGTGCAAAAGTAGGTCAATATGCAGTATTAAGACATTTTTCTGAAATTTTGTAACTTCCTGGGTGCTGAAGCAAATTATACCATATTTACTGATGATTACATGGAAAAATGGATTGTAGTCATTTCATTCATAAAGTCATTGTAGTTAATGAATGAAGTTTATCCGTCTATGTTTGAACGTCCTTTATAATAATATGCTCCACAGCAGTTTATTGCAAAAATTAAAAAATTTTGAAATAAAGTATTAAGTTATTAATTTATGAAATGTTGATTAAAATGTTGTATTTAATTATTCTTAGTAGATTTGCATTTAATGTAAAGCATGCTGTTAGATAACTCTTGACCATCAGTTAACGTAGAGGGATTATTTAAAGCATTTGTAAACTGTTGTATAATTGTACGTATTCAGATATGTAATATTTGAAACCTTTTTTTTTTTTTTCAGGGAAGGGATTTGTTTATGGATTTAGATGACTATTCCTTGCGTTTGATGGATACACAAGATTTGACAGTTCTTAATACTCAACCAATTCATACAATCGTGATGGGATTGGCGGACAATGGAATGTGGTTCATTCCATCTTTGTTAGTATTTGATGCTATAAACTGCTTTCTTATGGGTGTATTTCTTTAACAATATTTTTTCAACTAAAATAAGATTAATTGGAATTTAATGGATCTGTCCTAAATTTTTCAAATGATTTAGTGCAGCATTTCTCAAACTTTTCCAAGTGGGGACCACTTTTATAAATAAGAATATTCTGTGCACCATCTTCCTCTTGTCTCCATCCAAGAGCAATTTTTAGCACATATTATATACTATAAATATGTTAATGTTTTAAAAATGCAAAAAAATTTTAATTCATTTGATTCATATTGGTATTAAATATAATTTAATAGCAAAAATTTATATCATTAAAATAATTCAGTTCCTGGATTTTGATATATTATCTCGATTCATAAGCAAACACAAATCAGCGTTTATTTTCAAACTTCACAGGACTCATTTTGATGGTTTACCAAAACCATGAGGACGATGTTTCGGTAAAACATCAACTAGTCCTGTGAAAATTTGAAAACATAACGTTGGTTTTTGTTGTTTGACTTCTGAATTAGTATTTGTTCAGCGTGTTATTGTGTCTTAATTATATTTGCTTAAAAATCAAAGGCATATTATTAAGATTCTTAGGTAAAATCATAGGATGTTTCTGATTATCTGAAATATTAGCATTTCCAAGCCTTCCACATACATGCATTATTCCTGCAGAATCTAAGAAAGGATTTAAAGACAAAAGTTTGTTTGACATCTTCAAAGGTTTACCCAATTCTAAGCAAAATAATTCTTCTCAAAATTCAGATCTTTGTACAATCCTAACAACCATAAAAGTAACTTCACGAATTTCTTCAGTAGATAAATAACTCTTTGTATGCTCTGTATGTAGCTTACTACAGTTATTCTTTACACCACACTAGCACTCTACATAGCTTTGACCATGATGAAAACTTGGAAAATAACCGGCTTCTTTGAAATTAAAAACATTTGAAATGAAACTCTTCTTATATTTCCTTTAACATAACCCCATTCTCTAGTTCTACACTTAAATCTTGCTGTGCAGGAATTATCGATTGCTTTAACCTTTGCAGTCCCTTCAACCCTGACTCACATTGTAAAAATTCTGATGGAGTAAAACATCTGGTCCCAATATCTACAGGATTTTCTTTTCCAGCAACATAATTCCACTGAATACTATGAGCAACTTCCTGAATCTTTGCAACCCGATTCTCCATCAAAGGTAACCAACAGTGAGGCTTGGACAAAACCCATGCCAATGTAACCCGTGAGTCTGTTTGTGTTCGTATGTAAATATTGTTAATTAGCAGTTGTATGCATGATAACACTACATGTAAGAGGCTGGTTAAAAATAACACAGCACCTAACTAGTCTTGCAAAAGAATGGTTTTTTAAAGGAGCAACTCTGGTTTTTTATGTCGGAAGGCTAAGCTTGAGCAAAGAGTCAGAGCTGATTCTTCTGAGGTAGATGACTGCATAATAATCTTTTTCTGAAGCATCACAAAAAGCATGAAATCCTATAATTATTGCACTAAACCTCAAGGCATACCTTGGAATTGGAAAGCTTGATAGTAAGGGTCATTCTAAGTAAAAATATTTCCACTTTTTCCTTTTACTTTCCCTCGTCAATGACTTTATCCCAACTGAGCTGTAAACTCCACAACTCTTGTAATATTTTTGGTGCTAACCGTTCCACTGGATCAAAGACTTTAGTGGCTGATAAAATAATTCTCTTGGTAAACTCCTTGTCATTTATGCATTCTGAAAAGTTGTATGCATTACTAGAGGGGTTCCAGTTAATATCAAAACCTTCACATTCTTATCACTAGTTATTCCAGAGAAGTACTAGGTTCTCATAAGCATTCAGGAAAATTCTTTAAAATAGCTGAACTACTCAGAATCTATTCCTTAAAACAGAATCCATCCCTTTCCATCATTTCAGTTAACTGCTGAACTAAAACTTTTGCTTCCTTTTCACTTTGTGTTTATGAAAGTAAATAATCTACATAAAATTTGTGAAGGACAATTTTGGATGCCAAAGGGAATCTAGTTTATTCATTGATAGAAGTTGTTTCATTACTCTAGTAGACAAATATGGTGCACAGGCAGTTCCATATGTAACTGTTACTAATCTGAATGTACTCAAGTGCTCACTAAGATGATACGTCTATATTATTTGTTGCCAGTTGATATCTTCTGGGTGAACTCGAATTTGTCAAACATCTTCTCCACTTTGATACATACTACAACCTTATAAGTTCTGAGGCATAGAGGAATTGAAAACGGCTCTTGGTCAGCTCTTGACTCAACCATCAAAAGTTGATTTAACACGTTGACTGCCATGGGGGGTCACCAGTGACAGGCACTTGACTTGGCTACAGGGACGTGGGTGCCACGTGGGTTGACCGGCAATGTGACCAATAGTAAAATGCATAATTAGAGTAAATATCGATACTAATAAATTTTTAAATAGTACCATTGTTGCTATAATGGTTTGAAGAACAATAAATAGTAAAAATTTAAATTATAAATCACAATAATGGTCTACAGAGCCTGGTGACCCCCACCATGAAAAATGCATTAAGTACGATTATATAACTCACATTATCTTCTGTAGATAATATTTCAACATAATATACAGTGCATAATAAAAATTTCAAGTTGATGTCATGGGCAAACCACGTAAAATGCATGTGGCAGTCAACCTGTTAATGAAAGTTCCAACATTGTTCTGGCTGAAGCATTGAAAATGACTCTTAATTTAGCAATATTGTAGTAGTAATTGATTCCTTCAAAACAGGATGATGAGGCATGTAATACTCAGAATCAGTAAAAATCTTTCTCTCTGGTTCTCTTTCCATATGTCTCAGCTCGAGATATTCCCTCGTAGAATACTTATATTGTTTATATATCTGTAGCCTTTTTAAAAGCAAATTCTGTAAAGACTTGAATCTACGAATAGCTAACTGTCTCAAATCTCCCAAGTTGGGATGGCGAAGAATGAAAGGATAATTTCAATGTATATTCACCACTTTCCTCTCTTGTAAATGTGGATTTGAAGTAATCCTCACATGCTCTCTCCAATTTGATAAGCATATCAAATGTAGGTACAGCATCCAATTTCCAAAAATGAAACAGCATCTGCTTTATGTCCGCATATATATTATTCACATAGATAGTGGTTGAACCACTGTTGAAGTATTCACATAGATAAGGATTTAACCTCTGTTGAAGTATTCACATTACATGAAATAATCCATCCTAGTTCAGAATAAGAGGCTACTGTGTTACCTTATCTGCATTTAATTGTTTTCCCCTTTAGAAGTGGTAAAGAGATATCTATGCCTCAATATATATCAACAGGTCCACACTTGTAGAATGTTGGATTCACCAACATCATTATATTTCTCAGTGCACTTCTTATCCAGTTTAAAATGCAGCAGTGCTCCACTAATTCTATTGACGAGAAATACTTGTGTTGTAAATGATACTTCCGCTGGAAAATGCAAAATTAAACGTATTTGCAAATTTCCATTAGTCTTTGTATCCGATGATCCTAAAAATGAAATAAAAACCTTTCCATTTCTTCTTAGTAACCTTAATCTCTTTATACACTCATCTGTAAACAAACTTGCTTGGCTGCCAGGATCAAGCAATGCTCTGCATAATTTGTATTTACTAGGTGAATCTAGCACTTTAACAGTCGTACATAATAAAACCTCATGCTGAACATCAAAGTCTGATACACAAGGTTTAATGACTGGACCAGAACTCGTGAGATTCTCCCGACTTAGCTGATCAACTAGATTTTGTTTTGAGGCAAAGGGCTTAGCCTCACCGATAACTCATTCGAACTGTCCATAACTCCTGTTTCTGCATCATTTTGAACTCTTTTGAAATGTAATAATGCGTGGGGATTTTTAAAGCACTTTCTACATTTTTGGATACTTCTACACTTCAAAACTTCATAATTTGAAACTAAGCAATTAAACAGATTGTATTTTTTTTACAAAATTAACAGGACTCTGAACATTTATTACATTTCAGTATTGAATGACTAGCTTTGCAATATGTGCACAGCACGTGAATCACTGAAGCCAATGTGGTTCTTTTTCACATTTTGTTTTTTAATACTTTGTTGTTTACCTGCTTCTAGAGATCTAGCTTGAGATTTCAAGAATTTTAATGAGTCATTAAGGGTTGGTATCTCCTCTTGCTTTAAAGTTCATTCCCACCATCCTCTTGTAGAAGAATATATCTGTGAATTGTTCTACTTTGAAACCCAAAGTCTCAAATGAAAATAAACATTCTCTTTCGGTATCTATGAAAGCAAATAATTGGCTGGGATTTTCAGTTTGTAAATTTGATGAATATAAGATTTTCTTTAACAATGATGAAGGTAATTTTCTCTTATGTGAAAATGTTTGATATAGTGAATTTCATATGCTTTCAAAATTCCTATCACAAATGGTTAAAGCCTAAACAATCCTTAATGCATCTATCTCCCTTTAAAGAACATTTTAAGCATTGCAATCTTTTTGCACCCGATAATTTGTCATTCTTCTTTATCGCTGTTTTAAATAAATCACTAAATGGTAGCTATTCTTCAGCGCTACCACTAAATATAGGAAAAGTTAGCAAATGATTGATATTTCAAAAGATTAAGCCTCCACACTAACATCTTTAACATTCTTAACACTAACTCTGGTTAGCAATAAAAATAACCCATCAACAGTATCTTCTACATCTTCTGATTCTTCAATAAGTTCATCAATATCTTTCTTTTCACAATCTACGAAAAATGTTACTAAAAATATCTGAAATTTCTGTTCATTAGATTACTTAATTTAGATTTAAAAAGTTCTAAGTGTAATCAGCAGTCACTTACTGTAATTTTCTCTTTTAGTTTAGTTAACTTAGTCTTAGCTACATGCTTCTTTGTTTTAAGTGTTGTAAATTCCATTCTTTAATCACAAAGCTATTGAAATGCACTGACTCACTAATTGCACTGCACTCCGGTTTGACCAACCACAAAATTTGGTATAATCTTCTGTTGATGTTTAGTAGACTATTCTGTTGATTTGCTGTTGAACACCTTCAGTAGAACTTACAGAAATCACAAATTTGTAATCTTGATACAAACTCATATATTTTTTCCTTAAAACATCATGGCTGAAGAACGGCGACTTGCCAACCACAGCCAAAACTCAAATTTTACCCTGCTACCTCAAAGCACATCTCAAAGGAACATCTATATCATTGGAACTCTAGTAACTACCCTCTGAAGCTCCAATTGCATGCTTAAAACCCTAACCAATTTGCATTTGCGCTACTTTTCAACTAAGTAACTAAAAATACAATTTGCAAAACATCAAACAATAGTTTTCAACATAGGTGGCTTTCCTGTGAATGTGCTCAGTGGATCCAGGTAACATCAGGTGCCACAACTCTTACTTTAGCTATATTGCCACTGTGCCGGCCGGCTTGCACGCAAGCCCCAAGTGAACAAAAACTATATATTTTCCAATCAGTTTAATGCTTATCCATGTACTCAGTTAGGATTTTGAAAATTTGTTCTTCAGTTTTATGAGTAAACAGAATCTTAAAAAAATATTATTTATGAATGGAATCGTTAAACACATATGTTACATAACAAATCAACTGTGTATCATGTGAAATGTCTGTTGTTTGGTCTATCTGAAGTGCATAAAATATTTTATTCTAATGTTATACCCATATTCTACATTACCAGCCATGTCATTGATCTGATGCTTAACTGCATCATTTAAAAGAGGCATTTAGATAAATATCATTAGATAACTTTTCAGTAAGCATTGTTTGAGCTCTTTTGTAACTGAAAGTATTAAGAATAGAATAGGGACTTATAGAATAGGGTGCCCCACTCTTCATGACGTAAAAATCTTGCAATATAGGAAGACTTTAGGGCTTTCTAGTTGTGAAACCTGTATTAGAAACAGCTTTAATTTCCTTATTTAGTTGTTCCACACTTCATCGAGAAAATTTGACAGGTTACTTTTTATACTTTTATCTCCATGTGTGTTACGGCATGTGGTTTCAGTGCAACAAGGTGCCCGCATATTTCACGTTATAGTGTACGGGAATGCTTCAACAGCACTTTTTTCTATGTAGAGCATTGGCTAAGGCATACCAGTTATTCAACAATCCTGATCATGCAATATGTTCCCCACTGTTGGACAAAAATTGAAGTTGCGTCAAAAGCCTTGCATATATGAACCCTGTATATTCAGATACTGATATTGTTGTAAGAGCTATTGAGATCTGATATTTCTGAACGCATTAAAAGAGTGGCTGCCTATATTTATCTGTATTATTAAAATAGAGGTATTATTAAAATAGAGGCATTATTAAAATAGAGGCATTATTAAAATAGAGCCATGTAAAAGAGTGACTGTCTATATTTATCTGTATTATTAATAATATTTGTTTTTCATTTAAAAATGCTAATTCCTTGATTGTTGCAATACTTTTTAATTACTGTGTAAAAATATTTTGGAATTACTATGTGAAAATGTTTTAATTACTATGTAAAGTTTTTCTCTCTGGAAAGGGCAGAAGCATAGCCTACAATCTCAAACTTGATGCATCATTTTTAAATTAGAGGCTATTAACTATTTCAGATGATAGTAAGGGTTCAGAATGAAAGTTACCGTCAACTAATCCATCTGGGATGTATTTTATATTCCTTTATTATTTCACCAAAATCATTCCAATGATAACTTAAATAGTCTCTGTTTCTTTCTCAGAATCAAATTCTGTATTATATAATTTGAAATACCCATCTTTTAGGAAACAAATTTTAATTTCTAACTAATCTCTTCCTCTGTAAGATCATAAGCATCTAAAAATTCTGTATAATGCTAAAATTTAATATAGTGATTTAAAATTTTCAATCAAAATGGGTTTAATAAATGTTTTATATTCATGTGTATAGGGAAGCTAGACTTCATGTTTATATTATTGAGTTTCTGGATGATAATTTCAAATAAATGAAGAATTCATTCCCATTCACAAGCTATTATTGTGGAAGTAGTAATAACGCAGTAATTTTTATAATCAATCAATAAAGCCATCTGAATAAAGATGGATTTTTTTTTCTTTGTTTGATGTAGAATTTGAAGATTATCAAAATCTCATTAACTTATTTTTGAAAAACTCAGAAAATTACTGTTTCTAGTTCCTGTTTCTGTGTAACTGTATTTGAGAACAGTTCCCAAGTCTACAGTTGTTTTCCAGAATATGGGTGAAACATGATTTGTATCTGAAATTGAACTGAAAAAAATTATGAAAATTTTGAGTAACTCATTATTACTTTTGGATCAGCTTGTATAATTTAATTAACATGGACTTCTTGTCGGGATCTAAATGATCATTTTCATTCATTAAGGTTAAGTTTGCATTTAAGCATTGCAAACAGTTCAAGTGGCATCTTTGACATCTTTTTGATCAAATAAAATATGTCTCTTGTTAGAAACATACAGTCAAAAGTCGTTAATCCGGACTCATCGGGACTTCGGCGGTTCCGGATTATAGATCATCACTTTAAATCTGGTAAGATGGCATGCAGATATTATAAAGTTAAAAATATGAAACCGTAATTTATGAAATATAGAACAATTGTGATCTAAAGGGTATCAAAATTTACAAAAAAAAAAAAAAGCTTAGTATTTATTTGTTTACTTTATTAAACATTTCTTTCAATGTAAGTTGTTTAAGTTGCTTCGTTTTTTATGTGATAATACATTCTCTTTAATTCTATAAACAGACATAATTTCTTGTTCAGTTACAAAGTTCCGCTGTTCAAGTCCTATAATTGCTGTGTCGAGAAAACCGACTAATTTGTCAATCGAAATTTTTTCATTTTCAATAACCTCTGTCACTTTTTTTGCTATCGGAAGCGAATTATAATGACGAGGAATTTGATTTAAATTATATCAAAGACGGAGTACATCGAGATGAAATACTATATTTAGTAAGGAATTATAAGCCAAATAAAATAAAAGCATCTGCCCTGAAGATAAGGATAGTGCTGACAGATCAACTTCCAATTCATTGCGTGCCGCGGCCTTAAAGATGAACAAAGTTTAGATAAACAAACGTTAAGGTTTAGATAAACAAAGGATATGTCTTTATCCATTTTTTGCAGCAATTCCACTTTTTGTTTAATGGACTTCGAAACATACTTTCACTTTGTAGATACTTTACATATTAGTAAATATATATCAGAAACTCTATTTGACATAATCAAAAGTTCAAGCTTACTTAGAAATAATATAAAATTGCTCTAACAGTCTGCAAAAAATAATAAGCCGAATCCAATTCGAAGATTAAGGAACAACGCAATCTGCAACATTAACTGAATTAGATAATTTTAGCTTAGCTTATACCGTCCGTTATACATTAAACACGCATTCGTAAACGTATTTTGCGCACGCACACATGCATATTCGCAGCCGTAAAGGTCTTATGCGCATGCGTCAAAGTTTGTAGCTTTGAAGTCCGGATTATGGGTGTCTGAATTAATGACTTTTGACTGTATTTGTTTTATCAGACTCTTTCTTACTCAAGGAAGTAAAATATGAAATCTTTAAGTTTAGAGAGCACTGACTGTGATTAGCAGATTTTTAAAAATGAGCAGAAGTAAATCATGTTTATCATTGACATTTTGGCCTGATTAAAATACCAAATGAAAATTTTCCTTTTGGTAAAAATGAATTTTCAGAAGTTGGTCAAAGAAAAATATTCTGTTGGGAAGCTGATATCCAAAGCTGATTTAGTTCACAGTTAATTGCAGTTTTCCAGTAGTTTTCATGTAATTGAAATATTAAATCACATTCCACTCTTTTTCAATTTACCATACAGGTGTTGTTTGATATTTACCATACAAATCACATAAATACAAAAAATTTATAATATTGTTAAATTTGATATATCAGAATTAATTGTGTAACTTTATGAAGAAATTATATATATAAATGCTAAGAATGTATTCATTTTTCCACTGTTGCTTTATTTACCTATTTACCACTGTTGCTATTAAAATTGTCCCAGTTCCAGTGTATTCCAGGATCATTATTTTTAAAGTAATACCTAATACTTAAATAAACAAATCAGTGAAGAATTTTGAGATTTATGTCTATAAATATGTAAATTTTCACAAAATACACAAGCATATAACATAAATTACTAGTGCATAAAGAGAAAAACTGTATTTACGTTTTATGTTGTTCATGTAGAGAATGTAGTTCAGCTTGCTTTCTAATGAAACAAAGGGAAAACAGAGTACTTCATGTGTTCAGTATTTGAAAATATTTGGTATTCTTTAGAAGTCAAATTTTAATGGAGTTTTTCTGATGAAACTAGATCACTTTTATGACTTCATGATGCATATTTTTGTAACTAATGAAAATGTAATAAATTTTTTGTGTGCTTAATTTGTTATTCAAGTTACTACAGAAGTATTGCATTCATAATGAGTTTTAAAAAAGTGGGCATCTAAATGTAATTTAACTTTTCTCATGGAAACTGTTTAATTGTTTTATACATCATGAGGGTATTGAATAAAAAAGAATTTTTAAGTCTCATTTTCAGAGCTGTCTTTCAGTCTCTTCATTATTTTGATATTTAGTCACCAGTGCACTTTTCATTTTTAAATATATTTGTAATGTATTTTACATTTAATTATTTTACAAGAAATATATTTTTAGCATTTTGCTTACTTTTTATTGTAATGACAGACCTTTTGTTTCATTTCATGCTTCTACTCTGTGTATAGAGAAAGGTAAAATACCTTTAATTTTTAGTTAATTTTGTGCATATCATGTCTTGTAATATATTGGGGTCATGTGGATGATTATTGTTATTAATAGTTTAAATTTTTGCAATATTTTATAATTAAATACAGTACAAAGTTCGAAATCCGGACTCGTTGGGACTTCGGCGATCCCGAATATTAGATCATCAATTTAAATCTGGTAAGATAGCATGCAGAAATTATATAATTTAAAAATGGGAAATTGTAATTTATGAAATAAAGGGTATCAAAATTTACAAAAAAAAAAAAAAAAAAAAAAAAAGCTTAATATTTGTTTGTTTACTTTATTAAACCTTTCGTTCAATGCAAGTTGTTTAAGTTGCTTCCACAAAAAGTTCCTTTTTCTTATGTCGCATAGTGTCAACTTTCTAATGTCATACTCCTCGCATAATTTTGAGAATGATATGCCTTTATCCATTTTTTCCAGCAATTCCACTTTTTTGTTAAATGGACATCGAAACATGGTTTCGCTTTGTAGATCCTTAGGCAGCCCCAGAATTGCAAAGATAATTTTAGCCTTGCTTAATATCATCCATTATACATTATTGGCTGTGTATCACAAGATTGACGACGAAAGCCAAGTTGTTTCGCTAATTGTCTTGCTCCTACTGCGCACTGAATTAATTTAGAATTGTATTAGTTTAGTTATTTACTATACCTACGTTTATTTCTTGCACATGCTTAAAAGTAACCTGAGTCCTGAATAAATAAACTCCCACATATACTTAAGGCCACATATACTTAAGCCTAGGGCTGGCGCTAGATACCGCCTGGTGCAGTCGCTACGAGTCCTAAATTCTGCTACAAAGTGCCTTTGTAAGTTCTAAATTTTCACCGCGCCTAAACTTTGGATCCCAGGTGCTTTCCGTAAATCATAAAAAACTTCTCATACCTTAATTTTGCCGCTTGGTGCTTCCCCAAATTCCAAAAATTTTGTGTTCCCTAAATTTTGCGCTCCGGTGCCGACATATCCTGCCGCCACTTCTGGGTTTATGGTGAATAAATAACATATCATTTATTCTTAATTACAATAACACTAAGTGTAATCTTTTGGCCTATGAGTTTCATTAACAAAATCTATTTTTAGCTTATGAAAAGAAATTTTTTTGAATTTTTCCTCGTCAACATTTCTTAGAGCATTTAAAAATCTATAATCATTGCTAAGAGTAATGTTAGCATAAAAGGTTGCCATACTCTTGTTATTCAATTACTAATATAAAAAAAAGTTTAAACATCACTGCATGAGTTATTACTGAAGCTGTCATGTATTGATAAACATGCGGTGATGAAAGTAAAATATAATGAATAATGACTCGCCAGGGCGTCAGTGATATAAAATAAGTGAATGTTTGATTTGAGATGTATGCCAAGCAGATACTCAACTACGGAGCCAAAATATTAATCTCACAAATTTATGCATACATGATTGTTTTTCCATAACGAGGTATTTTATTTAGTGCCTAAGTGAAATTAAGAATTGGAATTTTTAAGTGAGAATCTCCATGTGTTTTATTATGGAAGAAAAATCAAATGTGCATGCATAAAGCATACAAAAAAAATTTTTTGTGGCTTTGAGGTCTGGATTTTAGATCATTCCGGATAATGGACGTCCGGCTTTCGGACTTTGTACTGTAATTCCTTCTGTATTCCAAAAGTGAAATTTGTGTCAAAAGTTGAAAACTTTTTGCCTGTACTTTCAGAGATTTTGCGTATGTGGCTCGTGACAGAATAACCAAAAAGCACATGTGTCATGTCTTTCGCTGTGATATCCCGGCACGAATAATAGCAAACACATTAAGGGACATATGTAAAAAAATAATGATTGAAAGAAGTCTGCAACGTAATTTGGAGAAACAGATTGAATCTAGTTCAGAAACAGAAACTTCCGACTCAAAACGAGGTGTTCCTATGCGACCAACAGATCTACCTATGGAGCAGCAGCAGTTTCAAACCTCAGAATCCCAGGGTTCCTATACAGGTAAGAAAAATAAATAATTTAAAAAGAGTGTTTTTTTAAAAGTGAACATAGAGAAGAATTTTATTTTAAGGTAATTGATAAAATAATTGATTGCTTAAATAATTGATAAAATTCCTCCTTTTCAGGGGGGAATTGCTTTCATGTTAATGATCTGTAAAATTGCAGGTCAAATTAAATATGTCAGGTAGAACAAATTTTTTATTTTGGGTGTCTATTTTAGTAGTTACAGTCAGATTGTGTAGATAAAAAGTGCTAATATGTGCAACTAAATCTGATAATCTGTTGTTTCAAAGGATTTAATTGGTGTGATTTAGTTAAAATTTATATGTTTTATTACATTAAAAGTTTAAATATCTGAAAAGCTCAAGACTGAATGCCAGGTAGCTGAGGATTTAAAAAATTAATTAATGATAGAAAAACCAACTGGGTGAAAGAACAAGTTTTGGTCTAAATTATGGAAAGTAATCTTATATGATATCCGTTTGACTATCAAAACCTTACATCAAACAATATGTAATATTTCAAAGTTCCAAACGTATTTCAGACATAAGAATTAGTGTTTTTTTGGGGGCAGTGGGGTAGATCTTAAACATATGAAGGAAAAACATCTTATTTGGTTGTGAAATCCTGTTGACTATTAAAGTTGACAGAGATCCTCTTAAACTTCTTGCATTCATTCTGGCAAAACTTTGAAATAATTGATTTCTCTTTATTTATTTAGAGATACAGATTATGAATATAGCAAATTATTTGTCATAATTTCTCTCAGTGCATTACCAATTTATCCATTTTCAAATAAAGTTGCATATCATGTGACATGATTTTCTTGAGGGCAGGATCCAGCAATTTTTAAAATACTTTACTGCATCCTGTTCCATTTAGGGCAAGCCAGCAAATTGTAATAATTTAACTCATTAAGGACACCCCCTTTGGCAATGTACCAGTTATTCATCTTGTAAGAATAAGGAAATAAGTGCTTTTGTCTACGAAATGTCAAGAGAGTAAGATACATTCAAGCATCGAAAAAGCTGTTGTCTTTCCCCTTCTGTAATAATGCTGTACTTTTTTATAATTAATCAAGAAAACCTTTGTTAAATTTTTAAGTAAATTCTAAAAAGACAACTAATTATTTCTATCCCGGAACTTCAGTGACATTACAGCGTCTTTAGTTGCCAATCTGAAGATACATCACCAATAGTGTATAGCAGATGTCAGCCAATTACAACAGTGAAATATAGCCTAAGCTAAAGCTAGATATTACTAAAGTTTTGGCTCAAGAAACTCCTTGTTTTTCATGTTTCAAAGTTGGCAGTAATATTTTAATAAAAAGTACTCAAACTTTATATTTCTATGCAGTTTTTCTGTGAAAAATGTTCAAATTGATCTAAATTAATTCTGATTGATTGACTAAAGATCAGTTAGAACAAAATATGTTTGTAATTTGCAAAATGAACTCAGGAAGATATTTTCAGAATTTTATGATTTACACTATTAAAAAAAAAAAAGCAGAGTTGTAGTTGAATGGGTTTAAGAGTCAAATAAATCTGAAGTTTGTTAAAATTCAAAATTTTGAATTTCAGCAGTTTAGTAAATGGTAATTTGAAGTCTGATACATAAATGTATTTCTTGAAATTCATATTCAGAAACATCGTATGCATTGCTGTATACAGCTCTACTTATGTATAATTATCAAAAGTTTTAATTAATAATCTAGGTAAATTTGGCTGAAAATGATAATCTAATACAGTCAAAAAAACGTTAATCTGGACTCGTCGGGACTTCGGCGATTACGGATTATCGATTTTTCCGAATTATAGATCATCAGTTAAAATCTGGTAAGATGGCATGCAGAAATTATAAAATTAAAAATATAAAACTGTAATTTATGAAATAAAGGGCAATTATGATCTAAAGGGTATCAAAATTTACAAAGAGAAAAAGCTTAATATTTATTTGTTTACTTTATTAAACATTTTTTTCAATGTAAGTTGTTTAAGTTGCTTCGTTTAATGTGATCATTCTTTCTCTTTAATTCTATAAACAGACATAATTTCTTGTTCAGTTACAAAGTTCCGCTGTTCAAGTCCTATAATTGCTGTGTCGAGAATACCGACTAATTTGTGAATCGAAATTTTTTTCATTTTCACTAACCTCTTCACTATCGGAAGCGAATTATAATGACGGGGAACTTGATTTAAATCATATCAAAGACAGAGTACATCGAGATGAAATACTACATTTAGTAAGGAATTATAAGCCAAATAAAATAAAAACATCTGCCCTGAAGATAAGGATAGTGCTAACAGATCAACTTCCAATTCATTGCGCACGGCGTCGTTTCCCTCCCCCTGCAGAGCAGCGCGAAATTGATAAACATATTTTGGAATGATTAGATAATCAAAGGATATGCCTTTATCCATTTTTTGCAGCAATTCCACTTTCTGTTTAATGGACTTCGAAACATACTTTTGCTTTGTAGATCCTTTACATATTAGTAAATATATATCGGAAATTCTATTTGACATAATCGAAAGTTCAAGCTTACTTTTATAAAATTGCTCTAACAGTCTGCAAAAAATAATAAGCGGGATCCAATTCGAAGATTAAGGAACAACGCAATCTGCAACATTAACTGAATTAGATGCTTTTAGCTTAGCTTATACCGTCCGTTATACATTAAACGCACATGCGTAAACGTATTATGCGCATGCGCACACGCATATTCGCAGCCGTAAAGGTCTTACTCGTACGCGTAAACGCCTATGCGCATGTGTCAACGCGACGCATGCGTAGAAAGTTAGTAGCTTTGAGGTCCGGATTATGGGTGTCCGAATTAACGACTTTTGACTGTAGTTCTTTCTTCAATTGCTTTGAATATAGAAAACATTTTTTCAATGTTATCTTTGTACACTGGGCCAGCATAAAACTTTTTAAGTTCAATATATTTTATTAGTGATCTCACATGACCAAAATAGTCACTACTTGACCATCTGTGAGTTTTAGATCTTTAAATTGAAACCACAGGTCTATGACCAACCATTAAGGAGATATTTAAATGCTGCATATATTTTTAAAGACTATATCTGCGTTGTTAGTTTTTAATGGAACTTTTATGAACGTATAGTTTTAAATGTTTCCTATATTTGTGAAAGCACATGTTTATTGTCATAATCTATAAAGAATAAGTTGTTTAAATAGTTTTAACAGTAGCTCAATTGCTCATAATAATACAATTCCTGTAATGGCTTGTGATTCTTTGTATATGATGATTGAAAAGCACTTAAAAGGCAGATGAGCACAGAAACAAATAATTTTTATACCATAGTATGTAGCTTTAGCAGGCTATATAGGTAGATAGCCTTAGTGTGCTGTGCCGTAATGTAATAAATCTATATCCACTGACCCTTGTATTGATGTTATGAACTGTGCATTTTTTTCCAGACATTTTAAATATATGTATCTATAATGAATGTGTAGTGAAAATCGTTTAACACGAAATTGAGAGGACTCAAATATTTTTTCATGTTAAAGAATATTGCAAAAAGAAGAAAAAAAACCCCTATTCAACAAAATAAGGTTTATTAGAGTACATTTGATTTACATAGATATGTATATGCATGTATTTAATAAAAATCAACGAAACAAAAATATCCACAAGAACTTAATGAAGTTTATTGCAAAATTTTCAAGTTTTTTTGAAAACCAAAACATTAATTAAGTTTTTGGAAAATATCTCATATTTTTATTTATATTGTCTTTTTTAGCATCAAATTGTTCGATATAATCTATTTTGTTATTCATTTCACCATTGTAATGTGCGTTTAAATAACTGCAAATACTTTTCATGATTCTCCTCATTTCGAATGACGTGCGAATAGGCACTGCATTATTCGTTTCATTTGCGTCGTCGTAATCAGCATCAATAATATTTTTTTCGCTTTTAACAAACTCTAAAATGTCTTTGTGTGCCATAATTAGGGCTGTACATACATAATCATCATCTACTGCAGGGTTTTTTTAAACTGTGGGTTGCGACTCCCAAGGGGGTCGCGGGACCTGCAGTAGAGTGTCGCAAAATTTTAGCAATTTTTATATTTCTTTAACTTATAATAATTTTACAATTGCCAAATATTTTTACATAATGTATCTGAAAATAGATGAAGATAAGACAATACAGACAAAGAAAAAAATGAAAACTTTTTGCCGCATTCTTTTTATAATATAAACGTTCATTTTCTTGCTTTGCACGTGACACTGTCATTTTGTCTATTACTAATTTAAAATTTTCACATTGTTCTATGTCTTAAAATTTGAAGTTAAAGTTAATAACCTAAAACTGCAATAGTTTATTAGAGTACAAGTGAAAACACTGACAGTTTCACTCATGCGTGTGTCAGATTTGCGCAATGCTTATGGGGGTCCCTCAAAATTTTCATTAAATATTATGGGGTTCTGGGAGTCGACGAAAAAATCTCAGTGATAAAAAGGGGTTGTGACTCAAAAACATTTAAGAAACCCTGATCTACTGCAATAAATTCTTCCGATGATACAGTAGGACAGTCCAATAATACAGAAACTTTCTCGAACATTTCTTTAAGTGTCAGCTCAGTTTCAATACCTTCTTCTCCATTTATTTTGGTGCCAAAGAATCTGATACTTTTGAGAATCCTGCATGATTAAAAACAATTTTCAGTCATCTTTGGAGTCACTGAATTCCATGTGTAGTGCAACATATGAAAAGCATCTAATTAATTGATTGAGAAATCTTCATATTCTTTGTTAGTCAATAATTTTGAATCAGTTGCTTCCAATAGAAAAATTACATGTTTTGTATAAGCCGTTGATCACAAGCCAGCAAAACACTTGTATTCAGAGGCAAAAAGGTAAGCTTTATAGCTTTCAAAACAACATTGGGGTGAGCTGGACAATTACCATTGGAACCGTGTGCTTTTCTCATAAGAATCTCTCATCTAGCTATGATCTAATTGTTGAACATCGTAACTACCATCCATGCTTTTTTGTTTGCTGTATATTCGACCAGTAATATTCTTACATTCTTTAAATGCCGTGGTTTCAAACTTTTGCCAATAACAAATGGAGAAAGTTTTTCAGATACATCCAAATTGCATCCTACCAGTACCATAATTGGTTCTTTAGACAGTCCCCCCCCCGAATACGATTGCCCTTTAAACGATAAAAGTTATATAGGGTAAGCAGGCAATAAAATAACCCAGTTTCGTCCATGTTGAAAACATCTTTCACTTCATATTCTTCAAGTATTGAAGGCAATGTAGACTGAAACAAATTTGCTATCATAGTCGGTAAAACTTGGTTAGCTTCACCACAAACATTTTTTAGTGCTATGCCATTTCTTTTCTTGAAAAGCTCTAACCATCCTGGATTTGCAGAAAATGTAATACCCATTTGTTTAGCAAGTTCATTGCTTCTTTTTAGCATTAAATTTACTGATAGGGGATCAATCTGTGATGCTTCCATATCAGTATACTGATATATAACATAATGTTCTGATATGGGAGCATTCTCACTTGTTTGAACCAAACAAGTAAAGCTGTAATCCTTGTACTTGGCCGTTCTCATCTTATTTCGCTCTGGCTCAAACATATTCTGTTGAAACATTTCCATAATTTGCTCTCTTTTTTTTTAAATTATTGTTAATAATGAGTTAGCAATACCAAAATCTTTGTTTTCGTCTTTTGTTTTCTATCAACAGCCTTAATAAGCTCCATCTTCATTTTAAGTAAAATAGCAGTTTGCTTTCCCCCTGAGCTCTTTGCCATTGTGCTCATAAAACAATTCTTCTAAAACAGGGGAAAAAGGGCGAACCAAGCTCGCTAATTTTTACTCACACTGTAATGTACTCATCACAGAATTCCAAAGGCAACTGATGACAGATGAGATGTTTTTGTATGGTGTTTGTAGGGGTGGAGGGTGAAAGTAGCTTAAATAAACAAAATTGGCTCGTTTCACAGGCTATTCCAAGGATATTTCAAAGGCAAGTTAGCCTCCTTTCTATTAAACATGCGAAAACGCCTTTCATTTCGCACCCCTCTTAAATCTTCCCTGCGTGGCTGGTGTTTTCCATATTTTGTTAATTCCCAGAAAAGAAATCTTTTCTTATTAAACGATTTTCATTTCGTATTGAGAGAAAAAAATGCATGAAAATATGTAGTAATTTGGAGGGACCATTATATTATTTCATGTTAAGTGTATATACTGATATTTCATCTTAAGTGTTTTTGTGTTAAACATATTTCACTGTATTATATTACTTTACTCCTTCTGTACCTGTAGCACAGTTTGATGGCATTTCCAGTAACACGTTTTCATATAAAAAGCATTTCTTTTTATTATATCCCTGACACACTTAAAATTTGTCTAAATTTTGAAACACCTTGATATTATTGTTGTTTAACCAAAGTTTGTTGTTAGCAAATAAAAGTTGCAGCTGGTTTCATGCAACAAATTGGGAAATGCTCTTAAAATTAGAGTGCCTGAATTTTTAACAAAAATCAAAGCCATTTTTATTCTCTATCTGTCATTTATATGAACTGTTCTATTCAAATTTCAAAATGTAGAATGAGTAATGTAATGTATAATGAATAATGTGATAAAGCAAATTTTTATTTATTTGTAGGTCAGTTTTTTCCCACTCCTATGGAAGAACCGAAGAAAGTTCTCAAAGTACATTACTTGGGATGTGCTAATGTTGAAAAAGCTACTGGGGTTGATGTGCTAAATGATGCAATTAGCCAACTTTCTGATTCTGTACCCAAATCAGAGTATAAATATGTCAATGTTGCAGTTGCACCATCTACAATTACTATATCAGAACCTGGAGTAAGTTATGTTTTTACTGGATTTAATATGAAAGTGTCAAATGTCAAATCTTTCATATGAAAATGTTCAGAATTAACATATTTTGCTGTATCAAAAGGATAAAGGCTTTAAAGTAATTTTAAGAGTGATTTGTTTGAATAGTATTATTTTTTTTACCATTAAACGTAGGATGAAGTAATTAAATAATGTTTATTTGTCAAAGTTTGTACTATGTATATCATTAGGAAAAAAGTTGTAATAATTTATTTCTGACTTATTGATTACCATACTGGCAGATTATGTGAACAGGACTTGAAGAAATTTGCAATGATAATGTTAAATTATAATATGGTCTTATCGAGAGTGCTGTCTGATAAATGGCATTCTGAAAAAAATCTTATATTAACTGACATTTATTTATTCCTCACTTCCCCCCTTAGTTTACTATTGTAATCAAATTGAACTGCAGTGGTGTTTAAATGGACGACCACAATTTTGCCTACTACCTAAAGAATGTTTAGATACGATTGACAGTTTATAATTTCAATTTCCTGTTCTTGTTCTCATGGCTCAGATGTATCCTCCCCCCCCCAAAAAAATTTTTTTACATAAATTATTTGCAAGAATTTTACAAATATGAAACCTGCTTAACATTGCTTAAATGATAAGATTTCTGATTTCAGAAAAGTATCATGAATAAATGCTTTATTTCTCAAGTTTCCCAATACATTCTCAAACCATGAAAATTATTAAATAACGTAAGTGCTTATAAAATACCTACATATAATAGTGTAAAACAATCCTGTTAGATGTATTACCAGTTTAACGTGTTCAGCTAGTGCTTGCTGTAGAAAAAGTTTGAAATGGCACAAAAGTTCATCTAAGCTCACCAATTTTATACACCTTTGGTGAATTTTGCATTGAGTTTTATTATACAAAAATAACATATTTCACTAACATTGCCCTAGTTTTGCAAATGAAACTCAAACCAATTGTAATGGGTTCTTGCAAAATTTTAAATTTTACTAAAGAAATTAGATTATCATATTTCCTTGCATACTTTTCCCCTAGCATTTAGTACCAGGTTCTGAATTTTTCTTAAATATTCAGATAATTTACCCTTTTCTCAATGTATTTAGAGTGAGCTCCTTTTAAGTTTTGCAGTGGATTAATTCATGTAGTGATTGTTTTGTCTTACTAACAAACTCTCACAAACTACCTGCGAATGTCATTTCGAACCTTTTCCCTCTGACTGTTGGCCTTTTGTGAACCATTACAAGAACCGACCAATCGCAGCGAAGCAAACGTGAAGTGATATTCAACCAAAAATTGTAAAGAGTCAGTTGCACCTTCTGTACTTATTTATGGATGATTTGAGACGTAAGAAGTAGCAGACACAACAAGAATAGGCAGGATTCAAGTTGCAGGAAGTATAAATGTAGATATTTTATTAGATAGTGTATTAATTTTACTGTGTATTCTTATGGGAATGTAGATTTCTTTTAAAGAAATAATATTATGATAGTTATGTGTAGTTTATCCATGACTAAATATCGTTTGTTGCATTCTTACTGTAACCACATCCTTTGGAAATAAAATTGTCCGTATATTTTCCCCCGCTTGATTTTCCAATGATAAAATTAGTAAAAAGAAGGGGGAAATATGGTAATCATAATATCTGCAATCATTTGTTCTGTTGAAAAATAGGATATGTGTATAGTGTTTTTGTTATGCAAGTTGCATGTATAATGAAATTTTGTATCAGTATATTCTGTTTGTGAATTGTACTTTTCAAATTCAGTAAATGTTGACTGATTATTTTCACACTTGTCAGGTTTGAGGTAGATCAAAATCTTACATTAGCCACAAAAACACTTGTGCAGCTTCCAGTAGAGCAACAAATTGAGCTTCTGCTAAGGATAATGAGATACATATTTGTTTTCTTGAAGACTGTGAAAAGCAGTTGCTACCCAGTAAAATTACACTTCCTGGGTAGATTTTATGTTCATTACTGTGAATATCTTGTTCCCAGGACTACAAGATTTGATTCTACATTTGATTTGAGAGAGATCTTTTGTTTTAATAGCTGCTTATTTGTTTTATTGCATCCCAGTCTTTTGATGTGGGTTGTTTCATCTTCTGCTAAGAATATGGGTTAAAGCTGTAATATCTGCTCTTGTAATAGGCAATTTTATACTAAAGAGATCCACTGGCATGGGAATACATATCATTTGAAGGGAGATTTCTTTTTTCATAGACTGTAGTAATTCATTTCCATGCATGTATTAGTAAACTTGCTTCCTGAATTTAACCTGAAATTCCACTTGTCAAGTTGCTTATTTTTCTGAGACAAAAGCTGCCATCATCTTTCTGATTTAATTTCATTCTTAAGAAATATTTAACTTTGCCCAAGGGTGTCATTTGGTAGCTTTTTTTCAGCCGTTAAGTACTTGAAGAATTAATGCTTCTTCTGTAGAACTTGCAAAAATATCGTTGACATACATATTAATTCTTTTGTCACGATCTGATTGAATCCAATATTCTCGACCTTATTTTCAGTTTTTGCTAGCTGCATGTTTGAGACCATAAATGGACATCTTTAATTTACAAACTTTATTCCTTTCTTCCTAAAATATGAATCCTTCTGGTTGTTCTATATATATTTCTTTGCTTAGTTTTACTCACATAAAGGTTGTTTTGCATCTAGTTGATGCACATTTGCATTGTTATATGTAGCCTATGCTAAGAAAACTAACTGTGGTGTGTTTCACTACTGGAGAAAAGGTTTCATCATAATCCTTTCCATATTTTTTTGTAAATCCTTTGGTAATTAATCTTGTTACGAATATTATCTTACTACTTTTATTGTATTCGGTTTTAAACGCCCATTTGTTTCCTACTGTAAGTTGAAAAGTATTCTTTTTTTAACCGTTTGAGTTCGGTAAAGCGCTATCGCGATTCACTTGTCGTATGCCTAAAATACGGCGCAGCGCGATAGCGCTTCTCTTGTTTTGTATCGAGAATGTGAAGCCGGTACTGTTGGTAAGTATACTTGAAAAAAAATTATTGAAATATTCAGTTGGTTTCGCATCAGGAGGAGGAACATGCTTTGGTCCAGGTACTTGAGAAAAAGTATTCGATTCGTTTGAAAAAATTGTATCCACGGGTAAAAACTTATCAATAATATCGTCATTGGAGGTACTTGCAGTTACTCTATCAGCAGTTACTTGCAGTTACTCTATCATCATCACTGCTATCACTAATAAATCGTAATCTCTTAGAACGAATGATGATATCATTTTTCAAGGTCATTACTATACTCTTCATTATCACTTCTCATAACATAGTCACTTTCAAATGAATCAGAACTTGACATGGGTTTTTTTTGTAATTATCAGTATAACAAACACTTGGTAACAAAATGAAAACAATTTCCAATTCCTATAAAACAACTGCTACTGATATCACTACAACTGCTCTCAATAATTGCGTAAAGTATACAAACCAACAGCAGCGTCTTCGCGTTCTCGATACAAAACAAGAGAAGTGTTATCGCACTGCAGCATATTTTTGGCATACGACAAGTAACCCTTCGCCGGACTCAAATGGTTAGAGGTTTATTTCTTCTTCTATCGCCTTGATCAAAGCTTCTTGTTCTCCTTTTGGCAAGTTTAGGATTTCTATCTTTCTGGGTCCCTGTTTTGAGATTATACAGTCAAAAGTCGTTAATTCGGACACACATAATCCGGAATGATCTATAATCTGGACCTCAAAGCTACAAACTTTCTGTGCATGCGTCTTGAGATGCATGCGCGTAAGACCTTTACGGCTGCGAATTTGCGTGTGCGTGTGCGCAAAATACATTTACGAATGCGTGTTTAATGTATAATGGACGGTATAAGCTAAGCTAAAATTATCTAATTCAGTTAATGTTGCAGATTGCGTTGTTCCTTAATCTTCGAATTGGATTCGGCTTATTATTTTTTGCAGACTGTTAGAGCAATTTTTATATTATTTCTAAGTAAGCTTGAACTTTCGATTATGTCAAATAGAATTTCTGATATATATTTACTAATATGATATACTAATTTCTGATATATAAATATAATTACTAATATAATTACTATAATTAATACAAAGCAAAAGTATGTTTCGAAGTCCATTAAGCAAAAAGTGGAATTGCTGCAAAAAATGAATAAAGGCATACCCTTTGTTTATCTAAACTTTAACGTTTGTTTATCTAAACTTTGTTTATCTTTAACGCCGCGGCACGCAATGAATTCGAAGTTGATCTGTCAGCACTATCCTTATCTTCAGGGCAGATGTTTTTTATTTTATTTGGCTTATAATTCCTTACTAAATGTAGTATTTCATCTCGATGTACTCCATCTTTGATATGATTTAAATCAAATTCCTCGTCATTATAATTCGCTTCCGATAGCGAAGAAAGTGACAGAGGTTATTGAAAACGAAAAAATTTCGATTGACAAATTAGTCGGTATTCTCGACACAGCAATTATAGGACTTGAACAGCGGAACTTTGTAACTGAACAAGAAATTATGTCTCTTTATAGAATGAAAGAGAATGTATTATCACATAAAAAACGAAACAACTTGCATTGAAAGAAATGTTTAATAAAGTAAACAAATAAATATTAAGCTTTTTTTTTTTTTTTTTTTTGTAAATTTTGATACCCTTTAGATCATAATTGCTCTTTATTTCATAAATTACGGTTTCATATTTTTTATTTTATAATTTCGCATGCCATCTTAATAGATTTAAACTGATGATCTATAATCCGGAAAAATCGATAATCCGGAATCGCCGAAGTCCCGACGAGTCCAGATTAATGACTTTTGTCTGTATTGGTTCTTTGATTTCTACTTTATAGGAAAACCTATCCAGTTAAACACCTCTATTCATTTTACTAGAAATTCTTCATTTTCTTCCTTACGTTCTGCTGCTGCCTTTGAATCTTCTGCCACATTGTCAAAGGATGCTCCTTCATTCTTTTTCACCC